AAAGTCGCGCGTGAAAATAATGCAAAGGAATTACTTGAAAGGACAATCACGTCAGAAAAATAGTAACTTGACTCGCAGCTTTGTCACTAATTACCATTCCAATTTTTAGTTTCGATACTTTACATAAAGGAGAGAGGCAGTAATCACACTTTAAAAATCTCAGGAATGTCACAGATTTCTTTTATTCAAATAGCGGTAAAAAGAAGATATTGCATGCATGAAAGTATGCGCACACGTCTCGACATCGGTACTAAGTAGTGTACTATTAAACGACGGAGGACGCAGCGCGTACACGGTCAAATTTGCATAATATGCGACTAACCTACCAGGAGGTATTACCCATACCTAACGGTGACGAAGTTACGACATCTCAGGACCGATGCTGGCGTCGATGTGCTGGCTTTTGAACCGACGAGAAGCGTCGCATGCTTTCAAGACGCCTCGAATTACTGGCATCGATTGCTGCGCGTTGTTTAGGTAACAAATTCACCAGACATTCGGTTCATTATGTTTCAATTTGGAAATCCACACTGCCGACCATAACGGATTGGGTACTTACACTATTCGCCAGGAAAATGCGAGCTAAAATGCAAATAGGATTCTCAGACGATTCAATGAATTCAGAGTTCGCATTCATTTTTGGAGTTCCTATTCAAATGCGATTCTATCCATCCTTTTAGAAAATTATAAATTGAAAACGTGGAATGTAAGCTAATATTTACATACAATTTTCAAGTGATTCAATAAATTCAAAGATACCATTTAATTTTAGTATGCTCGTTCAATTACAGTTTTCTCCGTTTCAGAAAAAAATAAATTAGAAACTTAAATATACTTGAGTGAAAAGTGACAAACAATTTGTATTTAGTAATAGAACAAGAACTACTGATTCGAATAACGGAGAGCATGTCACTTCTAACGACAATCAAATTGAAGTGAAATCAGAATTTTGAAGAGGAACACAACGTGGAACCGTTACAAATTCATATGTGTCTATGACTGACGTTATTAATGTCAAACGTGACTCGTTGATGACTTGTTTCACGTGCTCCACATCGCCTGTATCTTTCTGTCGCGCTTATACCGATAATTTTCTTAGAAAGTGGTGCACACTTCCTTATTGCCTGTAAGTACTGATATCCTTAATTTCATGGTGTGTAATTGAATGTGAAAAGTAACTGAATACTGTTACCAGCAACTCAGCACTTTCCTTTCTTTACTAGATCAATCTCTAGTGGAGCCCTCAGGGTGTAGATATGTTTAATCGAACCTACAGTACGGGTTTGGCAATCCCGATGTACGCGAGCTATAACAACCCCCTAAAAAACAAAACTTATTTGTCAAAGCATTTGGTATAGCAATGACTTTTTATATTTATAATAACTTTCCTGAAAAGGAAAAATCTTTTTTCAATATTTATTTGAATTTCTATTATAAAGGAAATTATAAAAAATAATGCACATTATTTCATCGCATTTCTCAACTTTTTGTGTTATAGAGTTAATCGATTTGTGCAATAATGAACTGGTCATGTAATTAAGACGTATCTATACGTCATTTTCTGAGGAGACTAAAATTATTTGGTAAAGTGTCAATATATTAACATGATTTAAAAAATATTGTTGAAACGAATAAATTCGTATGTAAGCGTGCATGCTCGCTAATGAAAATTGCAGACGTTTGATTGTAATTTGTACATACGTTATTTTGATGAAATTGATTATGCCACCGACCAGCATAAGCGTATACACACAAACGCTAACGAATAAGAACAGCTTCCACATTCTGAGAGCTGTGCTTAGTCTAACGCGATTTCCCTTGGAGCAGTCATTGCTAAATTTAATGAAGCATACGCAAGCCTAATCAGACCGAGTCACGAGCAACTCGCGTCGTCGCCTGCAGCGTTAACTCGTTGAAACGCGCCAAACGACTCTGTAAATTGCAACTCGACGCGTCTCGCGACGATCTTAGCCTCTGAGACATCATAGTTTATTTCACCGCGTCTCGTAGGGCTGATTTTTCAAATTAAATAAGAAGACGAACGTGATGTTAGGTACAATAATACAATTATACTTTCTTTGAAGATTATTGAAGAAACGCAAGACTTCATGACTTTATTAATTTACTTCGTTAGTTTGCTATCTTCAAATCAAATTCACAATACAATTTTCTATTATTATTCTTGGCTATACTGAACGCAGTATAATGTATATATTTCCAGCTTTGATATCGTCGCATCAAAGCAATAATAAATTAAGGTCTACTCCTCCCAGAAGTGCTCGAAGTTTAGACGGTACGTGCCTAATTTATCACGAACGAGCATTGTTAAGCATAACCAAATACAAGCAAGTTTAATCAGGCTTGATCAGATGAAATCACGATTAACTCACATCGTTGCCCGGAGCATCAATTCGGTTCATCGCGTCGGATGACTCGGTAAATTCTCCTAATTCGATACGACGTGCAATTACTCAAAATGTCTCATAAAGGGACTTCCGTTAACTGATACGTAACCCAAACTTCGCAGGCGGAATTCACTCCTACAATAAGTATTGTTAATTAAATTTCTCGAGGATGCAACGCCTCCACCGTTACGTGATTGATAGAAGCCATGAAGTTTAGCTTAATTAATTCGTACAGCATCCATACAATCTCCGTTTGATATCCTCTTGTTACATAAATAATTACCTTATTTACTTGAGTTCACGTGTAATACTAAACAGAAGAAAGTTCTCAGGGCAAAGAGAGTAACTATTTACGCACTATAAACCACGCCGCAAGGTAACCACTTTCTTCAGTTCAATCTTACTCTCCTTTAATCAATGTAACACGAGAAGCTCGTCTAGTGGGAATTATTATCGCTTAGAATCATGCGTAATTTATGGATAAATTTTGAACGTTGCGAAGGATACGCTAAGCGCTTTCTGGCGATGTTCATGAAAGTTTAGTACTGAGGAAGAAAGTGTGAATTATTTGCTTAGGCGAACACTGGAAAACTGGAAGATTGGAAAAACATGGAAATGGAACAGTAAATTTTAACAGCATATTTTATGGCTCTCATTTCTAGCTTCATTTTTGTTAAATTTGTAGGCATAACTATATCGAAGAAATAAAAAATCACAACCAAAAAGTTAATATCACTCGTCGATACTATAATTCAAGACTCTACTGCAGAAACTGGTCATCTACGTTCGTTATATTTCTAAGTCACGTAATATCGTGCAAATTAAACAAAATTTGCTTCATACTATAAAAAAAAACTTTAATTTTAAAGAAATAATATTGAGGATTCCATTAAATGTAAAAACGATTCAATGGAAATCATTAAGTTGTACAATCCCTGCGTCCGTGTAAAAGAATTTCGATTTTAAATGCAGCCATTTCCCTTTGATCGGAAACCCTTTGAGCGGAATCGTTATGAAGGATGGTGTGGGAATTAAACAGATTGCGGGCGTTGGCGCGAGGACAATTGAAGAATTGAAATAAGTCACGATTAACGCGTGGGTGCGTGCTGGTACACGCCGAACGACTACGTAAATTGTAGCTCGATCCGATGCGTAACGAACCGATGTACCAGCCTCGGACCTGCCCGAAATGGTGTACGCACACGTCCCGCGCGTGTAATTAGGGAACATACGTGCCTCGCTTGACAGTTAGTTGTATTCGACGAAGTGTTTTCACGCCGATTCGCAAGGGAGGCTTCAATCCGAGCCCGCCCTGCCGGAGCTCCCCGTTCGTTTTGCATAAACGATTGATCGAGATCAATTTTTTAAGGCACTTCTGATGCAAAACTGGTACCAATGGCGTTTAATTTCCTACGAGCCCGAACTCACGTTAATTTCGTATTTCTTTCCTGTAGGAATGATTTGAAATTCACCAGGCTGCCGAATACTGTTCGTGGCGTAAATTGTCGACGAGGTCAGACGAAACCTATGGTGTTTAAAGTAGTGTACAGAATTCTATTTATTAGGAATGTTTAGGTTAGTGGTCTAATTTGTTACATTTCGTGGGAAATATTATTTGACTTGGCCAGAGGCTTTTAAGTACTTGGGAACCACTCATTTACTATATTCTATTTACTTTATTTATTAGCATAGACTCAATCCCATTGAGAAGTCTTTATCCTCATCTTTATTTTTACCTCAGAAATTCTTTGGACAGTTTAGTGTCGTCCTTGGAAAATGTAGAAATTTCGCATATAGTTACTATGTAGACTCTATTAGATTCGGAACACGGCTAGGTGGAGATTGTGACAACCGGTTGAGAAGCTTATTCGACCTTCATTCCGGCCTTTACCACATTCCAACAAGAGCCGATGAATTTAACTCCTCCTTTCGACGTGACCCTATAAACTTGAGGACGTCTTCGGTCAATACAGCCTCGAGATGGTGATGCCGGATCGGGAACACTAAAATAACTAGCGAGCATAATGGTCTGATAGCAATTCTAACAGCGACTGTGTCATTTGAATGGGGGGTCATCTTCAGTGCAAATATTTTTGTTCATTTCCAAAAATTCATAAATTTATTGGACACCAATTCGATTATACAGGAAAGTATGATTTGTTTAAAAATGGAGTTGGATGAAGAGTGATTAAGTTAATTACTTTACATATGGAAAGTATAGCGTGATTTATTCTAAATAATTATTTATATTTTTGCTAATATCGTTGAAACCGCAAGAAATATTGAAATATTTTTAAATACAAAATTTAATGGTTTATCGGTGTTATAGAATATTAAAAACTATCAAATTTTGTATTTAAAATTTGCAATGTGGTTTGCAATTTGCAGCGATCCACAATGATCGCTGGCGCCAAACAGAAACGATTCTGAAAATGTATGCTCACATACATTCACGACCTGCATACTGCTGAAACTGCCGTCCTACTCACGCATGCTCTGTCCTACCTCATTCTGCGTGGAAATTTAACGCAATCGTCAAATCGGTCTAACGGTCGTAAAAGAAGTTACACTTCGATAAATAATAAACTCACTCACTACGCGCTGCCGAACCGTCGAGAATCGTAACGTGTTGACAGCGGTACTCAGAAACGCGTCGGCCAACGTCGTAGTCGATTAACAGTTTGACAGGAGAAGAGTACCGGTGTTGACTGCACAACGTCGTTGGCACGATTATTTCGCGGACCCGTAAAGTGCATGGTTTTGCAACATGGTCGGTCTGAATCCTTACGATCTCGCACGAGCGAAACCCTTCGTTCGACTCGGTAGAAGTCGGTTGGCCTGCAGCGGCTCCGCGGCTCGGAACAGGTTCAGTCGCTTCGCGCGCGCCGTACCGTATGTGTTGTCTCTGTTCGTCCCTCAGTCGTGGTCGGTCCCGATCGTGAAAAACAGCGACTGCTGCGATCGTTTCGTGCCTCGATCGTTAAACGAACGTCTCTTTTGATTACGTGTGAGTTGTACGCGTGATTCGCAATCAGCGTGTTTTTTTTTTTTTTTAACAATTGGTGCTCCGTTGTTTCATCGAGTTTGAGAAGTTTTCCGAAGGACCGGCTCGGCTCGGCCCGTTGGCTGTGGTGAGTACTAAAAGCGCGCGATATTCTTTTTAAACTATAATTTGAACGCTCTGATTGGTACCATTACTAATAAATAAATATCGAGTATTTTGGAATTGACAGTTGTGTTTTTTTTTTTTTTTTTTTTTTTTTTGTCGCGAGTCTTTAAGAGTACGGTGTTTTATATGTGACGAGTGGTCTTGTCATGAGTGTCTATTATTTGTGATGCCGTAAGTCGATCTACGCAGCGGGAATTTGTTTGACGTTTTGAATGTTCGAGTGAACAGTCGGTTACGTAATCATACGGTGACGTATTTTTTTTTTTTTTTATTTTATGATTGGTATATAAAAATATGTTCGACGAAATTGTGGTCTTGAAATGGTTTACGAGAAAATTAATGTGTTTGTTTTTCTTTTAATATATTCTATATTTTTGTAATTTTATTAATTTATACTTTTGACGATTATATTGGTAGAGCACATTTACATAAAACAGCAAAAAAACAAAAATTTGTAGAGGCTTCATGAATGAGTTTTATTTTCCTAATTTATTCTATTCTGTTTTTATTCAATATTTTAAAACGTTCCATATAATAACGCTTATCAAGACTATAATTGCGACTTTGCCAATCATCCTGATTACGATTACGATGCTTAGAGAATAATAATGGCGATACCGAATACCATTTTTCTAATTTCTTCTGTGAAAATTAATTAACAAACTGTTTCTCACTTTCTATTATATTTTTAATAATTCAACTTAGATCAATTTTCATACAAATATTCGAATCAAGAGATATCCTTGTCCATCCATGTATAAACATAAGACAACTCCTTTAACAACGCAATTGTAGATCACGATGATTTGTTGCATAAACCTGTATATTCGCACGTCGTATTTAACCACATACATTACGATCTAAATGCGAGTTCGGTTTTTTCAAGCTGGGATGGCACAGACTATGAATTATTTGTCATTTTGTAGGGGCATAAATTCTGTTTTGGAGTTGACATTTGATAGCGTTCAATATGCGTTCGGTCAGTTATTTTTTCGCCTCGCGCCAGTAATTTGGGGCTGTCCGACATGTTACGGGAAAAAGTGGAACCGTAACTCTCGCTACGCGCCATAATATGTTAGCTAATAATTGCTGAAATATTCGAACTCGAATTATGATAAATATCATTTCACTTCAGTCTCTTCATTACTGTCTTCTAGGAAGATGCAATAACTTTTTCTTATATTCAACATTTATTTTTCTTCTCTATTTATTCACCGATAGATTCCGAAAGATTATTCCTTTCTATCGAAGTTTAATCTTTCCATTTCACTTTCCATTTCAATTCTCTTTATAAGACATTACGTCATATATGAATGCTCGAGTCTTCCATTATAATATAACTGAAGCTTCACTTCATATTACAAAATTATAAATTGCCTCACGAATTGACAGGCACGTTTTCACAAAGAAAAATTCTTTTCAACGGTGCATCGTTGTGATTCCATCACAAATGTTCATTCTATTTTCTCTCGCAAATAGATTTATCTAGTGTTAGAAAAACCATCTGTAACATAATCTTCGCGCAGAGAAGTAGGTTATGTCGCAACGAATCGATAATTCATCACGATCTGAGATTTGTGTCAGCTCGTAACACAGGATCTATGCGAATTTATCGTGACTAGGGTTGTCTAAACTTGAGTGATGAATTAAGGTCCTAACGAGGAGAACGTATCCAACGCTAACTTGATAAATCTTGCGTTTACCGAGATAGAACTTCGAGAAGTTTAGATCTAGTTCCCCTATGCCAGAAGTAAATGTTTAGTTTTCATCTTTCTTCGTGTCCAGAGAGAAAACACGGGACACGGAAAAGTTCCCTGGAATGATTGATAACACCGGATAAAACGAAACAACGGAGTGGATTTCTACGCGAAAGTTTTCGCGTTTGTGGCTAATCGAAAGGAGCTTCTTATCGGGCAACGCAGAACCCGAAACTCGATTTCTGTTGAGTCACAACTCGAGCCAGGGGCACCTTGGACTTTTTACTGTCGGCTGTGTTTCGAACTTTACTGATGCCGAACATTAACTTCGTCGGAAACTAGCTACTCTCGAATGGAACAAAACTAAAATTTATTTAGGCTCATACTTCTCCATTATAGAGACATTTTCGTCACGATTAGTCGATTGAACAGTTCAATTCTTAGTTGTTGATTGTGCAAAATATTCCATTCTATAATTCAAAGTTCAATTTTCACACAGTGACTTTACTCGGGATTCTTTATTGTGCTCTTCTCCTGGAATTAAGTACCACTATTATCAGGGATAAGCACGGAGACCATCTCCGAAGATAATATTTCAATTAAAAAACGACTAAACGCGACGTAAATCGATACGAAATTGAAATTAATACATCCGAGTGGACGTTTAATTGTAAAGAAAATATTTTGGATATGAAAACGGAGGATTAGAAGAATCACACAAATATTGGGAGTGCGGAGTTGGGATTAATTATGAACGCGGAATAATCAATAAGCGATAATTTATGTTTCGCTGTTCGTGGCTCGGTCTAAAAATACAATGCGCTTTCATCAGTTTAATGAAAACCTGGAATTGTAGGTTTTAACGTCTCTGTATTTCGTGCCGAATAAATTTCCGCTTATTCACGATGATATTTCCCGCATTAAATGAGGGTAGACCATCGACATATTCTAATCTGAAATATTAATACATTTTTTTTCTTTCTTTAGAAAAACTCGCGATGGAAAGGAGACATAGAAAAGAATTATTTTCCATTTGTTTTCCTTATTACTTTCAGAATAATCTTCCTTAATCATTTCGTTATGGAGCTTGAAAAAGGATTCGGTATAAGAACAATCGAGATGTTTCTCTTTACTCTAATCATTTAAATAACAGTCGCTTAATTTCCGTTTTTTCCTTTTGTGATATTTAGGCTTAGTTACAAAAGTATATTTGAATATTTCCAGTCTGAATTCTGTATTAGTGCTTTTACTTCACGTATAGCTTTAAATACCAAGTATGGTTTCACCTGTTTGTCCGGTGATTATGTCACCTGAGTTGACTTGGGCGCGGCCGTTAAGCTGTTGAAAACAATAGACAAAAATTCTTCGTTAGTCCAGAAACCTCCTACTTCAAGGAACTGAACTATTATTCTACAAGAGCTGTTTGGAAAATTTCTCATTTGGAAAATAATTATTTTTTATTTCTCCATTCTCCTTATTTTCACCGTTTACTGTCAATAAAACTTGAAATATTCATTATACCATTATATTCATTCTCAACTTGTAGCCATTTCTGCCAATAATTAACATATTCGTGACCGCTGACGTGAATTCACGTCACTTCAAATTCTATTGCTGGTTATGAAAAAGTTATGAAAACCTTTTTATTTTGTACGCTACATATTTACAACACTGATATATCAAAACATATTTTGTAATTTTTATCTTCGCCCTAACGATACAAATTTGCGATGACCAGCTTCAGAATTTTATTATTTTCACTCGCATCGTAAAATCTGACAGTGTCGTCACAACGTAACAAGATGGAGAAATGCTTCTATTTTAAATTACTTTTCCACGCATATGGATTCACCTAGACACACCTAGTACATTTCAATTAATTCTCGTTAAACGTTTTTGAATCGCAATTGGAAACTCGACGTGTATTTATGAAGAAACATCCCCGAGCATTTTTAAATCTCGAGAACGCAGTAAGGCCGGAGGGTAAGGTGCTGCGTTAATAACGTAGCATCGAAGCCAGCCCATGGAAGATTGCTTTTCCTATTTAGGAGCGTCTTTTGAAGGCCCTCCTCGTCGCGCACTTTTTTGATTATGCAAATAAACCGTTGCACGAATATTACGTTTCGCTGTAAATAAGTACCTGGGGTTTTAACTGATGACGTCTTCAGTGGAAATTATCGTCACGGGACGGGAGAGCTCCTTTTCACGCGATTGCTTTTAACTTGAAAGACGTCCGGCTGCGGTTTCCATCGGCTTTATTCGAACCCCCAGCTTTGGAATTTTATACAATCACCTCGTTGGAGGCAATTTAAGAATCTGAATAGTGGCTTTTCGGCGATGTGTGCTACGTTTTCGAATGTTACCTCTTTTCTCGCTCGAAAGCCGGTTAGATAGCATCTCTCGATAGACACGGGCGAACCCTTTTTTCTTAGCGATGAAATTTTATTTTTTCGGAGCGTGAAAAAGTCCGTCAAACAAAGTTCTTCCTCGCGAAATTCCAACGAAACGACGAGAGTCCGTCGAGATTGTGAAAATGAAAAATTTCTCTGAAAATAGAGAACCAAAACTGCAGACTTGCTTTTAGTTGGAGCGATGGCCGAAGTGTATGAAAATTAAATTAATCTTATAAAGTCGGTGGAAAATCTTGTGTAGAATACATCCGGTGTATTTTTCGACCGAATTTCTTCATCCGCGTTCAGTTTTCATTAAAGCCGACTTCGCCAAACGGAGAGTATTTCTTGGGAATTTCTTTTTTTAAAAAGAAAACTCCGTTTACTCTTGGCCGAGGTGGGGCAATATCGAGCTCGGGCGAAATGCTGAAAACAAACTTAATAGAAGAGATCAGAGAACAAGGATGATACTCCTGTACGGTCTTTCCAGCCGTTAGAGAATTTTAATTAGCGAAAAAGAGGAAAGACAGACCGGAATGATAATACGATGGGAAACGACTCGCGTTCGTTTTGGTGCGCGATGCTTTTGTCGCTCAAATAAGCGTTTATGTTCCGAGCGGGCGATCGAGAAACGATAATTGAGATCGTCTCGACTCTTCGCCTAGCAGTTAGTCCTTCCATTTGAAAAGCACTGTGGCCACGTAGGGAGACAATTGCGCGTTCGAACTTTCCGCAAGGAAAAACGCAATTTGCGTGATTCGTTCTTGTTCTGGTTGGAAAATTTATGTAAATCTCAGATCAGGTTATGCTGGAACCAGAAGTTGTTGAATGCGGACGACAAAACTCTGCATATCGCGTTTACCGCGCAGGAAGAA